TCTTTATAGTGAACATAATAAATACCCACTTAGGATGACTTATTAAGAGAATAAAATTAGTTTATATATATAAACACTTAGAACAATACTGTTGCATAGTAAGCACTGTAAAGTATTTACTATAGTATTATTTTTGTCATTAAACTTTTATTTAGAATCTAATATGTTCAAGGGATGTGCTAGCCCTAGAATCAAACTTTGTTGATAATATATACTGGTGGAATAGCCCTATAACAGCACTGTTCCAACAGATTTTTAAAAATTTTTTTATTGAGGTCAAATATACATATATAGTTTACCATTGTTACCATTTTTAAGTGTGCAGATCAGTAGTAATAAACACATTTATATTCTTTTTCCCTCCTTCCTCTTTCTCTCTCCCCTCCCCTTCCCCAGCCTCTGGTAACCACCTATCTAGTCTCTATTTTCATTAGATCCACCTTTTAAAACTCCTGCATATGAATGAGAACATGAAATATTTGTTGTTCTGCTCTTGCCTTATTCCACGTGACATAATGGCCTCCAGTTCCACCCATGTTGCACAAATGATAAAATTTCATTTTTTATTGCTGAATAATATTCTATTGTGTATATATACCACATTTTCTTTATCCATTCATCTGTTGATGGGCACTTAGGTTGATTCCATATTTTGGCTATTGTGAATGGTGTTGCAATAAAAATGGGATTGTAGATATCTCTTCGATATATTGATTTCCCTTCTTTTGGATATATACTTTGTAGCAGAATTGCTGGATCATATATGAGTTCTATTTTTAGTTTTTTGAAGACCCTTCCCACTGTCCTCCATAGTGGCTGTACTAATTTATATTTCCACCAACAGTGTATGAGGGTTCCCCTTTCTCCACATCCTTACCAGCATTTATTGCCTGTCTTTTTGAGACAAGCCATTTTTTTTTCATAGTGTAGAATCATCCTTTTATTTTGGTTGAAAACACACAATAATTTTGGGGGATTATAATCAAGATTTAACAACATTACAATTCTAACGAATAACTTAAAATCAGGGATCTTGAGATAAATATAAATATTTCATGGATATTTTGGAACCCCGGTATTAAGACTACATCTATTGCCAATGACTCAGATGTTTCTTTCTAATGAATTGATCATTACATTTCCAAAGTTCTGAAATGGCCAACAGACCATAGAAAGATAATTCTTTAGGCTCCCGTTTGAAACCAACAGCTTCAGCAAACTGCTGGCCTTGATTCAGGGCCAAGAGACAAGCCATTTTAACGGGGGTGAGACAATATTGCACTGTGGTTTTGATTTGCATTTCTCTGATGATTAGTGATGTTGAGCATTTTTTCGTATATCTGTTAGCCATTTGTATGTCTTCTTTTGAGAAATGTCTGCTTAGATCTTTTGTCCATTTTTAATTGGATCTTTTTTTTGCTATTGAATTGAGGTCTTTATACATTCTGGTTATTAAATCCCTTGTTAGATGCATAGTTTGCAAATATCTCCTATTTTGTGATTTGTCTATTCACTTTGTTGATTGTTTCCTTTGCTGTGAAGTATATTATTATTTTTTGAGCTCCTATACTATTAATTAATAATACTATATGTTTCTTGTTCTATCTCCTTTAGTTTTGTACTATTTCCTCCCATTTTCTGTAAGTTTGTATCCTTGGCTCTCTGTTCTCTGTGTCAATAGCCTCTTCTTTGAAAATAGACTCCACTATTAAGGCTTCAAATAACATTTTGTGCAGACGATGAAGAAAACTAAAACTCTAGCTCTGGCCTCTTTCCTGAACTTTCTCTCTTTCCTTTATTCTATCAAATAGTTCCCATAGAATGTCCTACCATGATCTCAAACATAACATGTTTCATCTGAATTTGTTGTCTTCCCCTTTGACATTGGCCAATGTCATTTTTTTTTATCATTTAGGTTTTCAACTTCATGTATGTTCTTCCTTCCCAAACCAGGTATCAGCTCTTCTTGATTCATTTTAATAATTATTCTCTTATTTAGCTTTTCTACCATTCTCATCAAAGGTCAAAATATTAACATATCTCAACACCTACACCTAACTTATCCTTTCAATCCTAACATTTGATGCTGACTGATCTTAAAATGGGAATATGGAACATACTTATTTATCAGTTTGGAAGTTTTTAATTAGTTTCCTATTGCCTTTAGGAGTGAATATTAAACAGTAGACTGCAAAGTCCATGAAGGGAAGAATTTTCATGTATTTTGTCCACTAATATAACTCAGTACCTAGAAGAGTTCTTGGCACATAGCAGGTGATACGTGTTTATTGAACAACTGAGAGAGCCCTTTACCTGGCATTTAGGGAGTTCCATAGCTTGCCCCCAGCCCCTCTTCCAATGCTCAAACCTCTAATTCACACTGAAGAGTCTGCTCTTTTCTCTGAAGATAATTTAGATATCCTCCTCTTGGTCTATTTGCTGTTAGTCTTCCAATCATTCTATATTTCTCCTCACCTGTGTAAGTCCTTTTTGCTTTTCATGGACCAGCTAAGTCCCAAGGTCTCTGGATAATCTGTTTGATCGATTTGATCTATGCTAATCTCCATCATCCTGTAGTCTATCAGCATTTAAACCTTACGTTGTTTATCTGGTCCTGGGCAAATGCCTCCTCTCCCCAAATCAATGTGCTCTGTCCGAGAGTATGTGTGTTCTTTGGCATCTGCATGATAAGGACTCCATTACCTCTAACTAGCAAATATTCTCATCTTATATTCAAAGAACCAGAGATACATTTTAATTACTTCATTTTATACAGTATTCCATTATTCAGATTCAATATTGTGTATAGAAAAAATATTTCACTCCTTAAGTAACTGTTGGAAAAATGGAGACAGAGATTGTTACTTATGATCAGCTAAATTCTCATCTATTGTTCTTTCCATTAAGCCAAATTAGCTGTCCTCCGTTAGCTGACTAGTGAAAAGCAGAAACACCAGAGTTTAAGGCCATTTAGGAACGATTATGTTCCCTCAGCCCTGGGTTTCTAGGAGGATTTCCGAAAGCTGTTGTTACCTGTTAACAAAAATTGGAGGGAGATTTTACAGTGGTAAAACCTGGGAGGTGGCAATTATAACTAAGTGATTAACATTGACATCACTGGTATGAGATATATCAACATCGTGTACACCCAAGATGATGCCCTGAGAAGGGCACAAGATCACTTCAGTGGTATTTATGCCCCAAATACATAACCTGAATGTGATGATGAGACTAATCTGACACAAATCTAAACTGAGTGACCTTCTACAAAATGACTGCTCAGTGCTCTTCAGAACTGTCACTGTCATGAAAGACAAAGGAAGGCAGGACTGCTACAGATGCAAGGAGACTAAGGAGACCCAGTAATTCAATTAATTGCTTTGTTAATTAATTAATTCGTTAAACACAGTGTAGGATCCTGAGTAAGGTCTTGGACCAGACAAAGGACAATAATGGAAAAACTTATTACATTTCTGTAAGATTAATTGATTAGTTGTTAGTATTTTATTGGTGTTAATAGCTTGGGTTTGATCATTGTAATTTGGTTATGTAAGAAGTTAACAGGGGAAGCCAGGGGAAGGGTATACAGGAACTTTGTACTATTTTTGCAACTCTTCTATACATCTAAAATTATTTCAAAATAAAAAGTTGAAAGATTGAGAGAGGGGAAGATGAATTCAACTCTATATTCTTGCATTGAAAAAAATACCAAGCTTGAGAGTGACATCAATCATTTTAATTGACCAATACGGTCACTTTAACCCTTATAGTGTGTGTATGTGTGTGTGTGTGTGTGTGTGTGTGTGTGTAATGTGGGGCCCCTTTCAGTGTGTGCAAGAGTCACTAGCTGTGGACGGCACTTGGAATAGAAAGGAAATATTTGGAGTGATATACAGCAGTCATTCATTCAACACACATGCTGAGTGTAGTATTTTAGGTGCTAAAAACACAGCAACAAGCATAACAATAGATCCCTGGCATCTTGGAGTTTCCAGTCTTAATTAAGAAGATAAAACCAGAACTTTATTTTTGGGTTTTGTTTGTTTTGTTTTTGCAAAAAAGCAGAAGATAGACTTCTCAGTATGATAAGGCTGTGGAGGCATGGAGGCTTGTGTCAAAAAAGAAATTTGTTACAAAAATTGAAGAAGGTATTCAAGTTGGTAAGGTTTTGGTGTGTTAGCATGGTCTTCATGCATAACTGCGGACCATTAATCCACGCTTGTGAACAGGAAAAGGACAGGAGAAGGCAGAGAGGAGAAAGTCAGGAGAAAGTAGTAAGGGGGACAGATCAAAACAGAAAGGCAGACAAGAGAAAAGTTAGAGTCAGTTAATAATACGACTTAGGCCATACAGCGAACTACAAATAAAGCAAAAACGGGGGCGGGATGGGGATGAAGGACTCCGCTCAGCTAAGTACGATTTCAAAAGGTGTGGGTGAAGAAGGTGGAGAAACAGCTTGGGGATAGGAGACACGCAAAAAGAAAACATCAAATTGGGAACTACTGCGATGGGGAATGGAACGTGGACACTGAGGACGGAAGTATACTAGTCACCTCCAAGTGGGAAGGGAAAGCGTCCGGGCGGTGCCGGGCTGCAGCGTGTGCGCCCAGGGTGCGGCCCGCCGGGCCGATCCCGCGGGGCTGGGGAACCGGGGCGCCTGGGCCGGAGCTGGGTGGCGGAAGGAAGGTTGCGGGGCATGGGGGGAGGTGTGCACTGTTTGGTGATGTCATTGCAAGTCAGTGAGCGGTGAAATTTAACACCGGCCGGATTTGCTTGGCTGCTCTTCTTCCAGGCTAAGCAGTCGGCAGCAGTCAGCGCCGGGCGCCTGCAGTTGCCACCGGCCCCCTCGCACCGACTTGATTTCCGAAGTGGGTGTGTGTGCTTGCTGGACAAACGTTCGGGCGCGGGCTGTTTCCAAGGACTTCCTCCCCCTCTTCATCTCCTTCCCTCCCCCCACTCCTTTCTCCTCCCAAGCCCAAATCAGAGGACTCCACGGAGTCACAGAGTCGCCTTTGAACCGCAAGTGAACTCGAGGGCTGCGCTGGCCGCCGAGCTCCCGCTGCCGCCGGCGCCCGGTGCCGCCCCGTGAGGTCCACCTCCTCCCCGCCCTCCCAGGGGAGCACTACCCTAGGCTCGTCCCTAACCGAGCCAGGGCGCTAGGAAGCCTATCTGCCCTTCCCTTCGGGTGCTATTTCCTACCCCTCTACCCCCCTTCCTTTTTTTTTTTTTCTTGTGGCAAAGGTGGAACATGGTTTTCATGTGAGTTTTTCCCCCTTTTTCATGGACAGTACCTGCACCCTTAGCAGTTTCGAGTTGGCTTCTGTTTTCCGTTAGCGCTTTGCTGCACGGACAAATGCATACAAATGCATTTAGAAGCCCACAGGACAAGGCGTGGAAAAGTCTCCCCCACGACAAAAACGTAAGTAGCCCACCCGGCCGGGCAGGGGTTAGACCAACCCTTCTCTCCACCCCCCTGGATCCGCTGAGCCGGTTGGAGATCTGTGGTTCGTCTCCTTGGCACTTTTTGGCGTTGGGAGCGGGCGAGCAGCCGTGGCATCTTCCCGTTGTCTTCTCAATTTGTAGAATACTGTGCTTGAAAGGAAGTTTCGTGCCAGCTGGTCTCAGACGGTTTATGCTACAGCGATCCTGTGGCTCGGGAGGAAAGGCTAGCTGGCCTGAGGCCCGCCGTCCTCGAGCTGGGCTCCGGTACTCGCCGCCCTCGCGCCCTCCTCCCCTTCTCCTCCCCAGGGCCCCAGCTGAGGTCCTACTTCCCCGCGGTGCTCCTCAGGGCGTCCAGCCTGGCTATTGCTGCGACCCCAGAGGTTCCCCGGGCTCCGTGCGCGCAGCCTGGACCTCTGGGCACAGGCACTGGGCAGGGCTGCCCGGTGGTGTGTGAGTGGCGGGCGCGGGGGGCGGGGGGCGTTGGGGAGCTGCTGTACCCACGGGCTCAGAGGCAATCGCCTCTTGTGAGAAGGCCACAAACGTGCTGCCCATCCAGAGCGGAGGCTGCGCCCTGATCACTGTCAGTGGGGAAGTGGCGTTCGCAGCAGGGCACTAGCGGCTGGTGGCGGGGGGACAGAGCGCGGGGGCGGGGCTGCCCCTCCTGGGGAGTGTTTGGGCGGGCCCTACCGGGCACCCCACCTCCCTTCTCGGCGCTGCATCTGCTCCCACCTCCTCACCGGGAAAAGGGCATGGATGGGGGTGCGCGGCCTTGACTGGCTGCCCTGGTCCCACTGGAAGAGGTCCGTGGGTTACCCAAGTTTGCTTTTGGCTCTGGGAACGAGAGGGGCGAACACGGCTGTCGTGGTTTTCTGCAGAGTCTGCCCCTCAGGAGAGTGGGTGGGAGGAGGGCCGGGGCCAGAGCTGACCGCGTCCGCTGGGGGCGGGCGGAGGCGGGGTGCGGAGAAAGACCGCCCTGCGGCAGTGTTTGTATGAACATGTGCTTCCCAGCCGCGTGCCGCCCAGCCGGGCTGGCTTCGCGCGCGCTTTCTCCTCCGGCCCTTGGGAGCCTCTCCGGCCCGCTCCACAGCTGCCCAGGACGCGCCTCCCCGCGCGCGGCCTCCGGATGACACAGTGGGGAAGAAGGCTCCCAGCCTCGGCAACCCTGTGAGGCGGCGCAGTGTAGGGGCCGGGGAGATCCGGTGCCGGAAGAGGTCAAGCTCTACCTGCTGCCTTCCCAGAGCGGCTCACGCAGGTCGCACGGGTGTCCCAGGGAGGAGGTTTCCCGCCACTTTTCTTGACAAACGTCCCTCCGTGTGGACCGGCCTGGAGAACGTGACGGGAGGCGCCGCCGATTCTGTGGGACCGGGTGCACCTTCCCGCTGATCCCGGACTGGTGCCAAGAGGCTCCAGCCCCGGCGGGTCCGGAGACACCGGAGAGGCTGGGAGAGGCCCTCCTCCTCCTGTGGCGCCGCAGCCGCCGCGTGCTGCCCTCCCTGCAGCTCCCGCCATGAGGGCTCCTTCTGTCTGCCACTGCGCGAGGCCCACGTCTGACCGACATTCCCCTTGGTGCTTGTGACCAGCCTCGCGGATTAAAGCAGATCTTTTGCTCCTGCCCTCTGTCTCGTCTGGTTTACACTTCCCTTCCAGACGCTCCCAGAAAAGGCCTGCATAAATTCTTGGGCAGTTTGGGGTTTGTAAATTGGGTCCAGATGATTGGGGGGAGGGAAGCAGGGAAACCGAACAGAGTGGATTACACCGGAGGAACTTCTGAGGAAAATTATACTACGTGGAGTGGGAAAAGCAACGTGCGGAGAGACGTCGGGATAGGTAGCGGGTCCTGGGTGAAGGCGCTGGTCGTCCCTGACCTCTTAGAGGGTCTGTGGGTCAGGGGGCTTGCAGACCTTGGGTAACTCATAATATCCAATTTGTTTCCTTACAGGAGCTAGTGGGGATGGGCTGCAGAGAACTAGGGTAATGTGTAATTACGTCAGATTACAGAACTCACAGCTCCAGCCACACACGTGCAGACTAAGAGGTAGTCAATGATTGGGCTGAGAAAATTGTTTCTAGAAAAAAACCCGATTTTCATAAAGAATCTGGAGTTCTCTAGTTTGAAAAAATGCCACAAACCCTTGGATGGGGGGAGGGACTTGGGAGAAGCAGCTGATTAGTTGATGATAACGTCAAGCCACTGAAGTTCCTAATGAAATCCCTGAGGTTTTAATTTTCTCTCATCCTTTCGTGGTGGCGTTTTGTAAGAGAAGGAACAGCTTTTTAAAATCACAGTTCTGATTAGTCACCCACAAACATTTACAGTTTTAAAACTGGATCCTTAAAGATACTTTCTTTCATGGGACTGCTTTTGTACGAGTTGCCTAATGTGAATTTGTGGAATTAATAAAAGGTAACTGAAACCCAAAGTCAGTATTACATACATGGATTTAACATACTACCGGAAAGGCTCCTGGACAGGCTATTATGGCAATTAAAGTGTTTCTATAACATTAAAAAAATGTTTTGGATATAAAGATCCATTTCTTAGCTGGCATGAAATTCTATTTTTTTAAGTTGCTTAGTTATCTTTCTGTTCAAACAAATGTTTAAAACAAACTGATGTCTCAGGGAGAGGAAATGTAATTTATGGAAAGTAAGTTTGAGTGTTGTTTAGACATTCTGCTTGGTAATTTGTGAAGTTGCAGAAGGAAAATAAATTTTATTATGGGCATTAGAATAGCTGTGCTAGTTTCCTTGCCATGCCTTGCAACTGTGATTTATTTTAGAATTTATAACTCAGAGTGAGAAGTGGAGACTGTTGCATTTTCATTCTCATAAAAGGCTAACATTCTGCCATTCATTTACTCATCATTCATTCTCTTATTTATTCAAGAAATGTTTACTGAGCTCCAACTATATGTACCCAGAGTGGTTCTAGGCAATAGGGACACAATGATTGAGCAAGACAGAGACACAGTTGCTACCCTCCCAATATGCACAGTCTAATAGAGGAAATAGTATGTTAAAACAACCAAGTATAATAAAATGTGTTGAGGGTATATGCAGGAAGGACATCTAGCAGTCCTGGGTGGGTAGGTATGGTAAGGAAGGATGATAGTGGAAGGAAAAGCTAACCAAAGGAAATGAAATCTTGACTTGATACCTAAGTGGAAGGGACATGGCGTTTTCCAGACAGAGGGAACAGTAAAAGGCTCAGAGGTGAGACAGCACAGTGCATTTGAGGGCCTAAAAGAAATGAAGTTGGTTGGAGCACACAGTCCAGGGAAGCAGTGACTGGAGCTAGAGCCGGAGAGAGAAACAGAGACCAGATCCTGAAAGGCTTTTAAACCATGCTACTTTCTTAGCTAAACAAGTGGAGGTTAGAGAGACTTGACTTTTCTTGATCTTGGGATCAGTGTGCAGGTAGAAGATGCTAGAGAAGTAATATATTTGTTGAAATTCAAGACCACCTGTTAGTTTCAAAAATCTTTATTTAACACTAGGAATTGCTATGCTAGGTAACAATCACAATCTCTGTGGTATTCACTATGACAGACTAGTTTAGGTGTATTTTCCTTCCATCCCACTAACTAGATTCTAGGTACTTTGACTATTCGAAGTCCGTAAGCATTTATCTTTCTTGTACTCATGAATTGCTTGAATGATTAGAATTAACCAAAAGCTCTATAGATTGAATATCCCTTACCTGAAATGCTTGGGACCAAAAGTGTTTCAGATTTGGGAATAATCGCATATACATAATGAGATATCTTGGGGAGGAGACCCAAGTCTAAACATGAAATTCATTTATATTTCATATACACCTTATACTCATAGCCTGGAGGTAATTTTATACAATATTTTTAGTAATTTGTGTATGAAACAAGGCTTTTGCTGTGACTCATCACATGAGGTCAGGTGTGGAATTTTCTACTTGTGGCATCATGTCAGCACTCAAAAATTTCAGATTTTGGAGGAGTTAGGTTTGGATTTTCAGATTAGGCATATTCATCCTGTAGTATGTTTCACACTGGATTAGTTATACAGAGTACCTACTAAGTTGAATTGATAGTCTGAAAAATTCATTGTATATAAGTTAGTAACAATACTACATTGCTCCCTGAATCATCCAACTTTATCCCCACTGCTGTGATGAGAACTTTTTTCAGTTATTTGGGGAACAAAGAGCACAAATTTTACTATTTCTGGTCTTAGCAGCTAGTAAAGAGCAAAATCTGTAAAGCTGTCATGACTTTGAGAAGGTTTTGGCATGTAAACATAACGTGGTGGAAATCATTGAAACTATTGATGTATATCACATGTGTGTGTTTCTCAGATTAGTTCACCCTTTTTAATTGGTTTAAAAGAAAACTACCAACTCATAAAAAAAAGATTCCTAGTCACAAGATTTCACAAGTCCTTCTTACTATTGTAAACTGCATCTATGTAGGAATGAGCTGCAGTAGCCTGAAGACATATAATACCTAACTTAAGAGTCTCATGGGTACCCCAAATGAAAAGATCCTTGGGATTCCCACAAAGTAACTTGGACCCTTCAGATAAAGAGAAAGTTGAATAGCTCTGAGAATCATCTAGAGAAGATGCCTGGGATGGATATTAGTCCCGTAAATGTTCAGAGTATGGTCTCTGGATATTTATTTTCTGCCTTATCCACTTTAGGCCTTTACCCTCATGTGTCCGGTTATATTTGTACTGTGCTTGATGTTAACCTGACAATGTGGCTAGTCAGCCAGACTCATGTAATGTGTTTCATATTTTGTTAGATATCAATATCATGGGCTATATTTTTTGGATCTTTATTAAATGTTTGTTATCATATTGTTGACTTCTTTTAGATCTGGTCTGATTTTGTTAAATGTCTGGGTATATGTACTTCTGTAACTTTTTATTAGTGTCACACAGTCCAGACATACACAACAGTAAATGAAAACAAACATGTTTTGAATATTTGAAAAATATTCATATTTAATATATTTTTGTTGGAGTAAATTAAATATATGAACAAATTAACAAGCTTAGTAGACTATTTTCAGTTATTTAATTAATATAGAATTTGGCCCAACTGTAGGAAGACCTTTCCAGATTTGTAGTTTAATAACATATTTATTAAAATATGTTATTAAATATTTTCATATATGATTTATATAACGTCTTGCTAAATAATTTGATTTTTGTCTTTTAATGCCAGTATACTAATAGGATCTCATCATACACATAAATTGTAGGATTTTAAATTTGGAATGTAAAATATACAAATATAAAATTAATATTTTTTTAATTTAAATGTTTTATTTGTTTTCAATTTTTTTTATTTCAGCATATTACAGGGGTACAAATGTTTAGGTTATATATATTGCATTTGCCCCACCCAAGTCAGAGCTTCAAGTGTGTCCATCCCCCAGACGGTGCGCACCACACCCATTAGGTGTGTAGATACCCATCCTCACCTCCCTCCTCCCATCTTCCCGACACCCAATGAATATTACTATATGTGCACATAAGTTAATACGTGATCAGTTAATACCAATTTGATGGTGAGTACATGTGGTGCTTGGTTATGTCATCACATGATAGATGAACCAGATAAGACCCAGAAAAGGACAAAGAACAGCTGCTGCCCTTGAGGACTCTACCATCTACTGCTAATGTAGAAACTTGATATTTTTTCTTTGTTATGGAAATGTTAGTAAATGGAATATTATAGGGGAAAGAACTCCAAAGAAACAAACAAGCTCAGCACAACAGACATTCTCCCCCAAAAGCTTGTATTCATTAAATATCTATTTACACAACAATGGAGTTTTGGTCTTTATCAAAATGACTGTCGATGAAACTTGATCTCTTCTCTGTGTTCCCACTTCAGAGATTAAAAAAAAAAAAGGAGTTAAAATAAAAAAGGTTGGGGTGGGGAGAAGATGCCTTCCATATATCCTACCACGGCAGATTTTGAAAAATTCTATTCCTCGTCTTTCTCCATTTGGACACCTAACTAAAGGTACCCTTATTTTATTTCACTTTTCTCAAGTGCTAAAAGAATCAGGTCCATAGGGAAGGATTGAATTCCTCAGTCTTTGGGAGATGGTATTGTTGTTTCCTTCCTTTTTAAAAATATGAATTAAGTGTTGATTTCATGTAAGATATGGGTACACGAGAGATAAAGGCAAAGACTTGCTGCTTGCTCAGATATTTACTTCCTAATTAATCACAAAAGGTAGAGCATATAAGGTCTATAATAAAGTTACAATTAAAGCATCAAGAATACAGAGATGAGGGAAAGATCCATTACTTTTTAGGAATGATGGAAAACTTCATGGAGCAAGTATTGTTTTAATTAGGACTTGAATATACTTAAGAATAACAGGTGGAGACTGGGAGGGTATTTCAGACATATACAAAGTCTGTCCAGGGAGTAGAGAATAACTTGGTATGACTGAGCTTTGGAGATAGCCGTTGTAGTGGGATCTAAAAATATTGCTAAAAAAGGAAGTTGAAGCTGAATAATATGGGGTTTGAATGCTTTGTGAGGAACTTGACTTTTCCTTCTTCCTTAGCTGGCTATTGGTTTTGGGAGGTATCATAGAAAAGGAGAAAGACAATCTCTGTTTCAGTCATTAATCTCTATCTCTCCATTAGTCATCAGCTTTAGTACGTAGGTACACTTACATAAAATATGGCTCAATTGATTTGTCATAATCCTCTAGGATCACTTGGCTAACAGATAACGTTTGACGTGTTCAGGTTTTCCTGTCTCATGTCAGGAATGGACTTGTTAACATGTCTAGAAAGAACTTTATTTTTCTCCCCTGAGATCACTGGAGAAATCTATGAGTTTGCTGAATTGCTAAGTGAATAGTGATGTTGTTGTACTACTCATTAATTAGCTTTTTTCTGAATGCAAAAGTGCCTATTAGGTTGTTTCTAAGCATCTAAGTGAGCCTGATTATCTTGGGCAGGTGAGACGTGCTTCTATTCACATTCTACTTTCTGCTAAGACACCATGATTCGATGCACTATCCTTCAGTGACTGTAATCCTAAGCAATTTTCTAGTCTCAGTGATAGATATTCTGTCAGTTATGTATTGAAATATAAACTTGCAAGAAAAATAGCCTCCTTACTCAAGCTCTAGATCACATTTCAATCCACTCTGGAGAGCACAGAAATAATTTTAATCTCACACAATGGTCCACAGCCTTGATTGAACATCAGAATTACTGGCTAGTGTTTAAAAATTCCTGTACCATGGACACATTAAAATCAAAATCTCTCTGGGATAGGGGGCAGTATCCAATTATTAGTAGTTTTTAAAACTCTACAGGTGATTGCAGTGTGCAGCCAACGTGAAAAAAGATCCAAAAGAGGTGGGCCTTGTATCATCACTTGAGTATCATCTGTTTTAGAGCTGTGGTCCTCAGAATGTGGTCCTCAGAGCAGCAGCGGCAGGATCACCTGGGGATGTGGGATAAATGCATATTTTTGAGCTCCACCCCAGACTACCTAGTCAGAAACTCTGAGGGTGAGGTCCAGCGGTTTTTAACCAGTCCTCTAGGCGATTCTGACCACACTAAATGTTGAAAACCACTGGCCCTAGTGCAGTAGAAAAGGATTTAAAAATTTGTATTAGAATCATTTAGTTAAAATGTATACATCCTGGGGATCCACCCCACATTTTCGAGTCATCATCTCTGTGGCAGGGCCTGGAATCCACATTTTTCACAAGCACCTCAGGTGATTCTTTGGCAAACTAACATTTGGGAACCATTGATCTAAATGGATGATACCATATATGGGAATGTCTTATAGACTTCATTAAAATATGTGGTTCTGCTATTTGTCCATATCAGTTGAAATTTCTGAAATGATTCAATTGATTAGTTTGTAGAGTTAGTGACAGTTGTTAAGTATTCTATCAAAACCTTGTCTTATAAGAGCTATGCTCTGGACTGAGTATGAGCATAGAATGTACATTTTTCACTTGCTAACAAATGGTAAATACCATTTTAATACAAATGAAATTTGTGTTTCACTAAAAATAGTATAATTTTATATTGCTGGCTTAAACTTTGTAAAAAGATTATCTTTCCTACATTAAGATGATCCTTATACTAGTTGACAAAGGTAAAAACATCTTATAAGTAATAAATAGAAAATGTACCTATTACTGCTATTATACCAGGAACTTGATAAAAAGAATAAATGATTTCCAGGAAGCTCTGTAATCACTGCTTGCAGAACTGCATTTTACAGATATGTCATTTGAAGAGTCCCTGGAATAGAATCAAAAACAGAATCAGGGTCTATATTAACAGGAATTAGGTAATGAATTACTATTTTCAGCTTGCTCATAATCTCTTTTTAAAATTATTTCTATAATTTTCCTTTGGGAGTTAGATACAGCCAATTATGAAGAATGTTCAACAAACTCTATCAAAAATTTATGCTTTATCTAAGCATAAAACATTTTTGTTTAGATAGCTAATAGCTAATCAATATGGATGAACACTTTTATTTGTAGACATTGGGTATTATAATTACTAATCAAAATGTGCAATGTTGATATCTATAGGTCATTACTATTTGCAACACCAAAGAATTATGAACCTAGTACAAGTGATTTAAATATGATCAAATAGCTTTCACATATAAACATTCACATAAATAAATATCTATTAATAGTTCCATTAATTTATAAACTATATACTTAAGTGACTATAATTTGTGGAAATTTCTATTGATATTATTTTATATGAAATTGCATATACAGTAATTTGACATATATAATAATATCACCTATACTAGTTCACATTTATTTAGTGCTTCCTTTGTGCCAGGTACTGTTTTGTGTGCTTTACATGAAATTTTTTAGTTAATCTTCAAAAAACCTTACGAGATAAGTTTAACATACGAGAAACTAAGGCATGAGTGATTAAAAAGTGCTCAAGTCACACAGTACGTGGCAACACTAGGACTTTAATCCAGAGCCTTTGCTGTTAATCACTATGAATATTAAAATACCATGCTAATTAAAATAATAGTTTAATTCTTAATCTTGCAATAGACTTCATTTTGGATTTTATATGGTTGTAAATGTCCAACTAATAAGTTTTTCCCAAATGCTTTTTTCTTTTCTCAGGAAACCATTTCTTCATTTTATTGTGCTATGTGTGGTTGGGCTTGCCGTTCAGGCACAAGAACAAGGTAAGAAAATTACGTGGTTACTTATTTGCTTGTATACAAATTCTGCTTCCAGACAGCAGAAGTCCATGATTTTTAAGTCATCATAACCTTAAATTTAATGCTGAACAATAAAAAACAATTCCACCCAGTACAATAAGAATGTAAGGGTAAAGAAACCAATTTTGGGGGGAAATATGACCTTTAAGAAATTACTAAGATCTTCCATCTGTGAAATTGCTTACATTTTTAAGCAAACTCTCTATAAAAGGGAAGTTTTGTACAGTAAAAAGGCTTTGCTTGTGACTTCATTTTAAGTGGGAGTCCTTGGGGGTGGCAAACTGTGACTGAATTACCTTTGCACTTCTTGAAACAACACAAGCATATAATAAATGTTCCATCTGGATTTGCATCATTAGGAAACAAAATAAAATTTGCATACTAGTGGGCTTGGGATTTTATTTAATTTAAATAGAGAGGTTTAGAAAATAGTTTAGTGTTTTGTTTTTGGCTGTTAGCTACTTGCTCTGGTAGTATGGCACTAAGAGTTTAAGGAGTCTGTGTACCTCCTACCTCATTCATTAAGCAACATTTTAAAAGTATCTTCCATTCTCCATGTAATATCCTAATTACCAATGATTGAAATGTGAATAAGATAATGTCTCTAGCTTCAAAGTGAAAAAAGTGTCTTTGTCACAGGAAAAAATAATACCAAAGTCAAAGAGAAAAATCCTGGAACCAGGCTGGACCTACAGACAGTATCATTGTGGCCCCAATTTTTTTTTCTCCTCTGCCTTATATGTAGCAGAGCTGCACTGGGCTGCCAAATTGTTCAGTCTGACAGAACCAACTTCTCAATTCAATGATCAATTCAGTGAGCCACTTGTTTGGTTAGTAGACAAAATAACAGTGAGGAAAAGACAAGTAGACAAATTATGAATGAAATATGTGCAGAGCAGAGAGGGGACACAAAGGAAAGGGTGGTTCTCTGTCTGATTGACCAAATTGACAAGAAGATATAGGTAAGTATTCTTTCAAATATCATATCGTTGAATTAAAATATTTTTTGGAAGACATAGTCTAATTCTCTTTTATGGAGAAATGATTAAATTAGGCCATATGTCACATGTAACTTCACTAAGTACTATTCTTGACCAAGTGATTTCTGTTATTGCATTTTACTTTAGCCATGAAGAGAAGAGAAACAATATCTTTAATTTGTTGTTATTATTACAGTTACTGTTTCTGAGAACTTCTTATGTACCAGTTGCTGTGCTAGTAGAGTATATATTTTCTTTACCATTGCCTCATCACAGGGCTTTTATAATTATGCCCATGATATTATAGAAGTGCTGAAACTAAGATTAAGGAGAATAGATAACCACTTCCAGGGTTACAACCTAATGAATGGAAGAACCAAGATTTGAACTTAGGCATTTTGAATGCAAAATCTACAAATTCCTTAAAATTAAGCCTCTTTGAGCCATAGAAAAGATAAGAAAGAAAAGAATAGCAATTATTAATTAAATATATATTTTGTGTCATGTTCTTTGCTGGTACTTTACATGTATTATTCTAATCCTCATAATGAACCTGCAGAGTAGGTATTATAGATGAAGAAACTGAGGCTCAAAGAAGTGGCTTGCCCAGGCTCATACAGCCAAGACTTGAATCTAGACCTGTCCATCTCTGAAGACAAAACTCTTTCCCCTTCACATCCCCTTGCTTCATAATTGCCAACCACTATCATTATGAGTTTTATAATTTACCAAGTGTATGATCATCAAAATACCAGAAATCCATGCGAAGAAAGACATAGAGAAAGAAAATTAAATATTTATGAACAGATTTTTTAAAAATCTAGAGCCAATGAAAGGTAGAAATGTAAGTAAGTGAAAGAAACAATGTCTTTCCTTCAATCTTAAAATTTACAGAATATAAAATGTGTTCTTTTATTTCAGGGCAAACATAACTTTCCGTCTTCTTATAAGCATAAAATTTTATTGCCAGTTCTGAACAAAAGAAAAATCCTTTAGAAAACCTCTTGGACATTAGAAAATTGGATATTTTTTGAGCACAGAAAAGAAATGGAAATAGTATATTATCAGAAACTTAGAAACATTTTTTTCCTAAAATAAATTTTTTATTAAATTGGCATGATGCAATATGCAGCATCTAATAAGAAGATTAGGAAAACATTATCAGAAACATTGTGCTTTTACAATGATCACAGGTATTATTTACAACCTTAATATTGCTGAATATGTCTATTTGTGCTAGAGATAATCACAAGTTAGACTTCCCAAATAAATATTTATGTGCTTATGAGATTTTTCAACACTTAAAAAAGTATGAAATAATACAAGTACTGTACATAGTTTAAAGGTCAAATTGTACTACGATATATAGCAAAACATATAGCAAAAAGCAGAAACCCTTGCCCCTACCCACTCCTGAGATTCTCAGCCCAAACTCTTTTAGCACCTTCTGTTGGTTTTAACCTCCATATTTATTAATACTATAATATGCTTAAATATTGTATTGACTTCCTACTCTTGATGATGAGGATTTAACATTTTTATACTATTCTATCCCCTTCTTCCTCTCTTTCTATCTTCTCAATGTTGTTTTATCAACTATTTGACTAAATTAATATTCATAATTTACTTTATTATGACCATGTGCATATTTTTACCTCCGAGCCATGTACATTTATATTTCTTTCCTGTAAATGTTACATGAGTGCCTCCTTTTTTTGTTTTATATTCTATGTCACTATCAATAAATCTTCTCAGATACTCCCAAAGAATTCTAAAACTTCTTTGAAAAATATTTTCCCCAAAAACACACCAAAGTACTCCAACAATTTGATTTTTTTCTTGGAGATATTCCTTTTAGATGCTAAAATTCTTCTGCTTTACTGTAGACTGGTAGTTCTCTAAGCATCCTATAGAGTTGATGTTTCTCATTTCTGTTAGATCTAATTTATTGGAACTTATATTTCCTTTTTCATCATCTATTTCCATATTTGGATGGAGCATATCCTCCAGTTGCATCCTGAGAATAAGTACTTACGTGGTACATTTTTGCAACATTGCATTTGCAAGAATGTGTTTATTTCACCCTTATACTTATAGGTAGTTTAGGTGAGTATAGAATTTTAGGCTGTAAATTTTTTTCTCTCAGAATTTGAAATGGTTTCATGTTTTGTCTTTTTTCATCTGGCTTCCAGAGGTTGCTGTTAAATCTGATGTTATAGTAATTCTTAATCCTTTATATGTGACCGTTTAATTTTCTCTTTAAGCCCTTAAAATCTGATGTTTATCTCTGATGTTTTGGAATTTCACAATAATCTGCCTTGGTACAGGTCTTTTTTCAATTCATTGTGCTAGGCACTCAGTAGGCCTTTTCAATGTGGAAACTTATCCTTCTATTTCCAGGAATTTTCCTGTGTTGTTTCTTTCTTTCTGATATGTTTATTTCTTCTTTCTGCAATTTCTCTTATGTGTTGAATCTTCAGTATTGAGCTCGTTATTTTCTTAATTTTAGATCCTATTTTCCATCTTTGGTTTGTGTTCTATTTTATATGAGATTTTCATCAGCTACTTTTCCAAACATTTTGTTTTAATTTTTTTATTTCTGTTTTATTTCAATTTTTAACAAGCTTTCTCACTCAGATTATTCCTTTTTCTAAAAAAATAAAAAATAAAAGCATCCTATTCTTATATCTTTGATGTAGTAAACTCTTATCTTTGTAAGGATAAGAATGATAATTTTTTTCAACTCTTCTTCTGCTCCCTGCATTGTTTTTGTTTCTTCCAAATTTTTTGTTTGTTTTGGTGTGTCTGTTATGTTGGAGAAGTTCTTTATAAGTCTGCAGTACCTCTGCTATCATTTAAAAGTAAGACACTAAAAAGAGGCTTGGACACTGTTTGCATGGGTAGGCTTGTCAACTGAGATGTTTCACATAGAGGGTGATTAAGTACGAACCTGGCTGACTATCTTGTTGGACTACAAATGTCTGAGGCTTCAGTTTCTTTAGAGAAGAATCCTCCTCCAATGTCTTACTTGTAGAATATAATCCTAGTTGCCTCTGTTATCAGAGTTAAGTGATAGAAAGAGGTTCTTGGGCGGGGGGTAGGAGTCTCATAATTTAGTATGGAGATTTTGGCTGAATCCCTTGTTCTCAATATGGTGCTTCCCTTTCATTTTCCTTTATGATTGATTCAATCTTTCTACATAATTAACCTTTAAACTCCCTGGGCCTAACAGCCTTTTATATAAACTTTCAAATCCCCACCCCTCACGTTCATTCACCCCCCCCCATTTGAAGCCTCATGCTTCACTTCTGAATTCAGTGATTTAGTGCCTTCATTCTTGAGCCTTTTCAGGGTTTTGTGATATGAATTGGCCTGCTTGTCATTAGCATTTGCCTCTGCAAGCCCTTACTGTTCAGTTTTTTCATCTCTGCTAATTCCTTTCATGTGCTTTTCATTTTTAAAATATGTGTTGATATCTTTTGTCTGCTGTTCTCTCTCCTGATTCACTTTGTCCATGTAATTTTAAAACATGTTTCCTTATTCTCATTGTAGGTAGATTTTAATACTGAGAAGAAATAAGCACCTATATGATTTGCCATGGATTCAGTTATTCCTTTAAATTTTAACACAGTTAAGAAAAAACATTTTATGTATCTTATTAATAGATACACATTTTATATCTGTTTTATATCCAAGTTTTAGGCATAATCTAATGAAGAAATGGTTCTATTTCAAGAAAAAAATGATTATGTAAGTCTGAATTTTCTAAGGATTTGACAGATGTAGATCTCTTTTCTTACCTGATATAGTATATTTTCTTTATTTGTATTGGTGGGCTGCCTGCCAGAGAGATATTGACATAGCTGCGGTACTTCTCCACAGTGACTTACACCATGCAAGATGTGTAACTAATTCTCAACATGTGCATCATTCTCAGGTTCATGATCCCTAGGTGTGAAAACCACATGTATAGAAATCTATGTG